GTATCAAGGGGACAGGCTGCATGTGCTCTGGCCCAGACCGTTACTCTGCTCGGGGCAAGAAGCACTAGCTGATGTCCCTGCAGGGAGCCCTGTCTTTTCATTCCATGGCATGCTCCTGAGGAACAGAAGTTTCTGGAATGAGGCAAATAGCCCTGTACTGCCAAGGAAGGTGTGAAGGCAGCAGGTCAGATCCAGTGGGGAAGCCTGTGTATGAGCAGTGCCTGCATGGCGGCGTGTCCCAACACCTGCCTGCCCTGAACCTCTCACCTTCTTCTCTGCTGGGCTGACAGGAATCTCTCTCACTGGGCTCCTGCTAGTCTCAGACCTGTGACCAGAGCCATGGCAACGGCCTCTGACCCCATGGTCAGACATGCAGACTCTTGGTTCTTCAGATCAGCCAATGCCCCCATAGCAAGACCCAGGGCCATGGGTTGGAGCAGACATGGATGATGGGATTGGTGTGTGTGTGTGTGTGTGTGTGTGCGCGCGCGCGCGCGAGCTCCTGTGTGTGTGCACATTGCTGGATTGCTGGCCTGGAGAGGACAGAATGCCCAGTCAGGGGAGGGGTGACCCTCTGCATCCTGGGATGGAGGTAGGGAGAAGACAGGAGAAAGAGGGATGGGAGAGGAAGTGGCCTGTGAAAATAGTGAACCCGGACTGAAGTCAGATTTCACCAGTGTCATGCCAACCAGTGGGGGATCCTCTCAGAAGTGAACCAAACCCTAGCTCCTTCCCCAGATGAGATTGAGATGCATTGAGGCTTATTTCCTCTCTACACTGATCTGGCATTTGCTGCTTCCTTAGCTCCTTGTCTTAAAACAAGGATTCAAAAATGCTATGAAAAGATGCTGGCTAGCAGAAAAGGAGACTTCACCTTACACAACAGTGTCATTCTGAAACTGCATGAATGAAGACAAACATTTGCCATTTGGGTCATGCATTCAATATCAGAGGGTCTGCTATTACCTGTGAAATTCTTAGGTGGTCTGCATCGGAGCCAGGCAATCATGTCACCACTCCCCCCTTCCCCCCGCCCCCAAACTCACTGCGATGAGTGCACTTTGAGTATTCACAGCCCACTGTCAGCACCAGATGAGGATGGCTTGGAGGCCAGGTGGGGACTCAGGGCTGTGCATTCACACAGGTGGCAGGGGCCACGGTGGGCTAGGGCCTGCAGGGACCCACAGGTAGTCTCCAGGCCTCCCTCTCCCCTTTCAGGTATTCAGGCAGTGTAAAAACTGCTCTCCCAGGCCCTCCACATCCCCTCTTCCATCTCTTCTTCCTCTGTGCATGTGATTGGCAGGGCCTGGAATCACATCCTGAACCTGGCTGCAAAAAAGTTTGGGAATTGTAGTTTTTCTCTTTCTGACCTGTACACCTCTCTATTTCAGGTCTAGATAGACAAATGCCCAATCTATATTACTGCCAGAAGAAGACAAGGCCCAGCAGTGTTTGATTCCAGTTGTGCAAAGTTGTGCAGTGATGTTGAGGGGCCAGGTCTGGGACATTGCAGAATGTGGCTCAGATGCAAAAGGACTTTGTGTGAATCACCTGTGACTTCAGCTTCGGTGGCCTCGGTCTTTAGGAAGGCAGGAACTCAGTCTCCTAGACTTTCTCTCCTCTATTTGCTATTGGAAGAATTGGCCTGGTCTCTTGGTCATGATAGTCTAGGTGATGTTGGGTGATAAACAGCCTATGGCTATCAGTGGCTTAACATCAAAATGACTAGGGTTTCCATCTTATTTGTGCCATCTGTTCAGTGCAGGCTGGTCAGGGATTTCAGAGTGACTCAGGGACTTGAGCTGGCCCAGGCAAACTGCATACTCATTTCTGCAAAGAAGGGGCGTGTTGCTCCACTCATATTCCACTGGCCAAAGCAAGTCGCACAGCCCCCCTCACCTCAAGGGGTAGAAAGCTGAGTCCTCCCGTTGTCAGGAGGACCCGAGAACCCACATAGGAGCAGCACTGACTACCCCAGTGGGAGGTCAAGGGGAGAGTGGTGCCCCTTCTATCCTCCCTTCCCCCTCATGCTCCAGTGGGAATAGCTGATATTCCCCCATCACCATTTTTCTTATCCTCCGGGCACTGAAAATTTCAACTTTAAAGACACTGATAACATTTTTACTTGAAAACGGCCTGTGAAACACCAGCAGTCTCCAGAGACAAAATTCGAATCCTGCTTTTCCTCAAGCACATCAGTGGTGCTGAATCTGGCAGGATTTGGTGGGCTGGGAATGCTATGTGTTTACTTTCGTATAAAATCCTATCTTCCTTGGTTAGAGAAGGAAGCTAGTAGGCACCAGAGGGAGACCCCAGGTTTCTTATGTTCATCTCATGTGCCCCACCCTTACCCCAGGCTTTCTCTGACCATCTCCTCCTAAGTAAGTTTGAAGCCATTTCTGACTCTCATGTGCCCCCCCCCCTTTTCCTGCATCCCCACCCCAGGTTCTGTCCTAGTCCCTCCTTGTATTATCAATGTTTGTATAAATGTTTCCCTAACTGGAAGGCTGTGAGCTCTTTGAGAGCAAGAACTTGGTCTGACCCATCTGGAATTGTCCCTACTGCACAGATGGCATTTATTAAAATAAATAAATTTATTTATTTTTCAATGGCTCCGAGAAGGAATCTCTATCTTGACCTTAGGGCCTCTTCTGGGGGAGGCTCTCAGGGTCTTCCGAGTGAAAGAAAGAACGGATGGCTGGCTAGATGGATGAATGGATGAGCAAATTAAAGAGTAAAGAAATAAATATGTACAGAGACCAGTTAATGTCTCCTAGGGAAAGGAAACAAGCCTATTCTCCCCAGATAGCTCTGCCAATTCTGATGAGCTAACACAAACACAAGCTCTTGGAACAGAGGGGACAGATGGAAGTGGGGATGTCTTAGGGCGATCTCTCGCCCCTCTGCACTCTGAGGCCCAGGCCCTGCCATGACCAGCAGTGTCCCTGAACACAACTAGACTCTGGTCAGGTCAGGAGGTAGCCCTCGGTGCCAGGAGCAGGCTTTCCTGGGGCAATGGTGCAGGGTGTGCTCCTCATATCTGACGACTTCTGTGACCCCAGCTGAGTGGTGCATGGGGACGGAGCCACAGCACAGTGGGGTCTGTAGGGATCCTTGCCTGTGAGACCGCTATGGCATGCATCTGCTTACTATTAAATGTTTCCCAGCTGAGGCTCACGCTCTCCCCAGGCCCCCAGAGCCAGCAAGAGGTCAGAAAGTCAAGGCAGCAAGAGCCAGAGGGACAGCCCCAGAGAAAGTGACCCTCAGCTGTTGAGAGGAGCCTCAAGCACCATTTCCTTTTTCTCTGGAGATGGGAAAAGTGCCAACACAGAAATCTCAGGCCTCCTAGATCTCTCCAGGGTGGAGTCTTGGAGAAGGGAGGGAAGAGAGGCAGGGCAGGAAGGTGGTGCATGTGTCCAAGTGGCTGTGGGGCGAGGGGACTGACACCCCCTTCCTTCTAAAATAAAAAGACAGAAACTTCACCCCCTCTGCTGTCTCCTTCCCATTTTTCTTCAGCTCAAAGAGAGGCACAGAGCTGACCAATGGTCTCTGCGAGAGGAGGCTAGACCTCTTAGCCTCGACTTTCCTTTGCCCTTCACTTCATGAGACAGAGGAATGTGTGGATGCAGAAGGAAGCCCAGAGGTTTGGGGGCCAACTCCACTGCAGAGTGGCAGGGAGAGGTGGTTCCACAAGGGCGGCCTAGGTAACCACTGGGCAGTCATCAGGCCAGTGGGACGCTGTGTGTGGATTCTGCCATGGCAGCCCAATCCCCTGCCAAAGGTACTACCAGGGATCTCAGGAAAGAACCCAGCCCCTCCCCCTGGCCGCCCATGGAATGATGTTCTGTGGCCAACCGGGTACCAAAGGATACATGTGCTGTATTAACATGAACACTAATGACAAACGCACTACAGTAGTGGGCACATCATAGATACATAGAATATTCTCTCTATAGTCTGAACATAGATATAAAATAAGTTATACTCGCTTTTGTTTTCCATCACAGTGGGAGCATAGCATACAAAGTGACTGGTTCAGTGGCCGTGAAGCAAATCAGGGGAGAGACCATGGAGGCGGGAGCAGGGCATGGAGAATGGTGGGGATGTGTCGAGGACACTGCAGCTGCTGGCGGTCCTGCCAGGGACACCTCAGACCTCTGAGCTGTCCTTCTGAGAGTCAGCATGAGGTCCCACATCACAGAGTCAGTGACTGTATTTGCATTGGGATGACTCAGCTCTGGTGGGAGGTGGAGCAGGGACAGGCAGCAGCAGCATCCAGCAGGCAGGCCCACTCTCCTGCTGACGCTGTTGGACTGCGGCAATTTTAGGAACATGGGGCACAGAGCCAGAAGGCACGGTTTGCTTCTGCGATGTGACAGATGGCCAGACTGATGGCCCACCAAGGGCTGCTGGCCCTTCCCGCTCGCCAGCCGGCTCTGGGAAGCGGAGGGGCCTGCAAGCTGAGCTCGCTCTCTGTGGCTGGTCGTGGGCTAGCGATGCTGAGATCTTTGAGGCAGAAGGAAGAGCGAGGCCCTGGCTCTGAATCCTTCTCCATCATGTGTGACCTCTGGGACTTTGGAAGGTCCCTTAAACTTGAGCCCGAGGCCGCAAGAAGGGAGTTCAGGGCCATGTCTCTTCAAGGCGGGGACCTGGGTTCAAGGCCGGGCCCTGATTCCCGGGGATGCCTCTCCTCCCCGCCCACTCCTTGCAGCAGCCCCTTCCCACACACCTCCCGACCTCGGAGCAGATTTCATATTAGGAAGCCAAAGACAGGGAGAAAGCTCAGAAAACAAAGTGAATTGTCTAGTAAGTGAAAAGTATTTCCATCTGTCCTGAGTCCAGGGAATGTGGAGGTGGGTGGGCCATGTGGGCGGTGAACTACCTGCCTCTGCAGGAGGAGGCGGGCCTCTGGGCAGGGGAAGACGGAAAGGAGAGAGGGATGGAAACGGAGGCTTGGGAGCTGGGACCCTGTGCTTCTGCCGATGCTGAGAACTTGTGTCCAGCCTGGAAACCTGGGGATGGCTGATCCCTCTCACCTGCTGTGCGGTTCTCCAGATCTGTGCCCGTGAGTGAGTGTGTGTGTGTGTGTGTGTGTGTGTGTGTGTCCAGCTCTCCCATCTCCTGTAACACCTGCCTGCTCTGAACCTCCTCCTCCCATCACTCGGCAACTTTCCTCTTGGATGGTGGCAGGAGGTGGGCGGGCAGCTCGTTGGGCAGCTCATGCCCCTCCAGCTTGACCTTGATGAGGTGGTTGGCCAGTGCGAACTCCTCGTCATCCAGCATGCCATCCTTGTCAGTGTCCGCCAGCTTCCAGATCTTGCCCAGCACGCTGTTGGGCAGCTTGGAGCGCAACATCTCCTTTTTGGCATTGGCACCCGTGATCTTGCCGTCCACCGGTGACAGGGTATAGAAGATCTCGTCGTACATGGGCTTGTCCCTGGCCACGATCCACTCAGCATCACCGATGCCCTCTCCAGCCCCCTCCCCGTAGCCGTGCCCGAAGGGGCCATGCCGGGTGCCCTCGAACGCGCCACCCTTCACCATCGGGGCGGGCCGCTGCGACTCCTCCTGGCGCACCAGCACCATGAGCTGGGCAATGTCGTGGCTCAGCATGTCATCCACCACCTCCAGCAGCTTGCTTTTCAGGGGCTGGAATTTACTAAAGTCCTGGGCCTGCAGCTGGTCCTGGGGAGAGGGGGGAGAAAAGAAGGTGAGGCAGGAAGACAGTGGGCGGAGTGCCTTCCCCTGAGGGGGAGGCTGTCTTCCACTAATGCGGGGATGCCCACAGCCCTTTGGCCTGAAGCCAAACTGAGCCACATCAAAATCATAAAAGATATGAGAGAGGAGGAGGAAAGCAGGCACATTGTGTTGAGGTTGGGATTTTTCAGGAGAGAGTAGAACCGCTTCAGGGGCTGGGAAGCAGCGAGACGGAGCTTGGGGGTCTCTCTACTTTAATAAGGTTACACTTGAAAACACAGAGTGCTTTTACTACATGGTCTTATTCGCTCCTCTAGTGCCCTTCTGAGGGAGGGAAATCACATTTCGTCCCCATTTAGGGAGGAAAAACTGAGGCCAAGGCAGCTAAACACAAATCATAATAAGAGCCCAGGGTTACCCCTAACCAGCTGTCCTTAATCAGGATGCTCCTCGGAATCACCGGGAGAGAGTTTTCACTGACTGGCTCCCCTCTCGAAGCTCCTGACACAGTAGAAGCAGCGGGCACGCAGATTTTGCAACAGCTCCCCTCCTGGCCTCCCCACGACACCCCCGCCACATGGTAAGAGAAACTCGCTCCACTTTGCACCTTCTTGTGATTTTTTGAAAGGTCCTGAGTCTAGAACGCCCGGCTTCCCCTGGGCCTCAGGAGTGACGAGGTGAGAGCTCTCTGCTCCCGCCCTGGCTAGGCCACAGCAACCTCAGGACCCGGGGAAGAGGCCAGTGCACAGGGATAGGCTGGGGACAGGCACCTCGAGTTCCTGCAGAAAAATTCCACCAACACCCACAGCTACATTCCAAGAGCGAGTGTTAGCTTGGGCGTTTCTCATCTCCCTTCAAGGACAGGCTGAACCAGGGCAGAGGGGGCTGGGAGGGGAGGAGGGCAGGGGATGACCAGCTGTTTTCCTGCCCTCAGGGCCTGACCTCTCAAGGTCCCTCGGGTCTCTGTCCACAGCTAGGTGTGTTTGGTGGGTTCCCAATATCTTCCAGGGGCACAGTGGCTGCTTCCCCCCGCGCCCCCATACATTCCCCCAAAGGACAGCCACTTATGTTATTGATCAGCATACCTAATAGCAGGAGATGGACTCATTTATGTTGTGAAAGAATCTCTCACATTAAAAAAGAGGTTGTATGGTCCCTTTCAAACATCAGCTTCCCAAATGCTTGATTACAGATCATTAAATTCTTAATGGAAAGAGAAACTAAAAGTTGACCATGTGCCAGGGCACGGTGGATTGAGACACAAGTAACGTTAAAGTAATTTCTCCCATCCAAGTACTAACCAGGCCTGACCCTGCTTAGCTTCCGAGATCAGACGAGATCGGGCTCGTTCAGGGTGGTATGGCCGTAGACACGTTAAAGTAATTTCTGAAGTTAGTGACGGGCTTGCGGTAGGCGGTTATAGGAATGAATGGATACATGAACAAATGTATATTTTGAATGTCTGTTTTTTAAATCAGGTAGGAAACTAAAAGTGCCTATTTGAGAGTCTAGGGCAGGGTTGGGCAAACTTTTTGACTCGAGGGCCACAATGGGTTCTTAAACTGGACCGGAGGGCCGGAACAAAAGCATGGATGGAGTGTTTGTGTGAACTAATATAAATTCAAAGTAAACATCATTACATAAAAGGGTACGGGTTTTTTTTTTTTTTTTAGTTTTATTCATTTCAAATGGGCCGGATCCGGCCCGCGGGCTGTAGTTTGCCCACCTCTGCTCTAGGGAGTTCTGAAACCCCAGTCTTGAGCTGAGAAACTGGTTCCCAAGCTTAAGATCGAAGTCAGCAACAAGAGCAAAGTCAATATCACTGCTACGTCTGCGGCTATTAGAGAATTTCTCTAATTCTCTGATTTTTAAAAAACACCATATTTTGATATAATACAGAGCCATGAGAAGTTTCAAAAATTACATGGATAGGTAAGTCCCTTTTGCTCATCACCCAGCTTCCCTGGTGGTAACATCTTACTTCATTTCAAGGGCGAGTCTGTGCTGGGCTTTGTACTGAGTACCTTATAAGTATTATCTCACGGATGCTCACAGCATCCATAGCTGAGTATGACTTACAGATGAACAGAGAGAGGATCAGAGAGGATTCAGCTGGTATGGGGAGGTAGTTTCTTGCTTGGACTGTGGGGACAGCTCCTGGCTTTTCTATTAGCAGCCCATGTGAATACTACACTCAGAAAACTGCAGGCAGTTAACTGCGAAGATTAATTATCTTTGTATATTGCAATTTGCTAATCCATCAAAGGAGGATGAAAATGCCTTCTGCAGAGGGCTGATTTGGGGAATGACATGAGTCACCATGTGTGATGGTCCCTGGCTCAAGAGAGGGGCCTGTAGTGGGCTCCAAAGATGGCACGCTCCTGTGCAGACTTCTTCTCCATGGCCTATGTCCCCAGCCACTCCTACATACTTGGGGGCCTGGAGAACCTTCATTAGGTGACTTGTCCTATTTCACAGGACGTGGTGGCTGTGACTAGGGAACTGGAGGTACAGATCCCAAACATCATGGGACACCCCTGTCCTACTAGGATCGCTGGGGCTCCACATTTCTCTCCAGCCCCAGATAGGACACCTGCTAGGCCAGTGACAGCAGCAGGAAGGACAGACCTAGGGCATCTCCTCCATACTCAGGCTGCTCACTGTCCTTTGTCCTGGAGCCCCAGACCCTGGTTACCTGCATCCTCTTCAGGTTGGGAAAGTCCCCAGGCGAGATCTGGTGCTCCCGCTCGATCCGGCCGTAAATCTCAGCCAGGTTGTTCACCAGCTCCTTCTTCTTGTTGTCCTTCCCGAACACGGAGGGCATCTCCTTCTTCAGAGAGCTGATGATGTAGGCATGGACCTGAGAAATGGGCAGAGAGAACGCTTCTGATCAAGACCTCGACCCATTCCTTCCTTTTTGGTGGCTCGCATCCATCTCTTCCCATAAACCCCTCCTCCTCCTGCTCCTACTTCCGGAATAATTTCTGTCCACCCTCTTGCTCTCACACTTCCTGCAGCACTGAGCTGTTTTTCTAGATCTCGGGAAAGGCGAGATTGTGGGGAGGTTAAGGTCAAGGCAATAGCAGGGATGGTAATACTGGAGATGATGCTGATGAGGAAGACAACAACAATAGCTAACATTTACTGAGCACTTTTGAGGACACAGGCATGGCAATAAAGGGTTTTACATTCTTATTCTACTCTATCCTCCAACCCTTTCATTTCACAGGTGAGGAAACAGGAGACTGAGGGCCTTGCTGGGGGTGGGATCAGTTTATAAACAGTGGAGTGGAGCTCCAATCTGGCCATCTGACCCCAGGGCCTGTGATCATATCAACCCCAGTATCCTGCCCCCAGTGTGGGCATGGCTGAAGCTCATGATGCAGTAGCTACAGAACATGCTCACATGGGCAGGCAATGGTCAAGGTTGCAGGTAGCTCTTGCAGCTGACCTTCCTGCCCCCAAACACTTGGTGCCACCCATGCTGCCCATCCCCCCAAGGGCGGCCTCACCTTGGCCAGCCTGGCTCTCTTGATGAGGTCATTGAGCTTGCGCAGGGCAGCGTTTCGGGGCAGACTCTGAATGTCCTTGAACAGGTCCTGCTCCTCGGCCTCAAAGAGCTTCCGGTTGTCAGGGATGAGAAGGGGGTGGGACCAGAAGGAGCCGATGTAGACCCGGATCACCTCCGGGGTGTTCACTATCTTCCCCAGGGACCACATGAGGGCCCCGTACACCCGCATCAGCTGCTGGGTCTCGATCTGGTCGGCCTTGTTCAGCACCACGCGGATCTTATCCTCGTGGTTCTTGAGGGCCTTGATGACTTCTGAGAACTCATCAGAGATGTCCAGCTTGTGGGCGTCAAAGAGCAGGATGATGCGGTCAACCCGCTCGGCGAACCACTCGAGGACAGCAGCAAAGTCATACCCTGCAGGCAGAGCGACAGTCAGGGGGAGGGGCATTTGGGGCTTTGGGGAGATGCACCAGGTGCAGGAGAAATAATACCATCTAGGGAGTCAGATCTGGGTTCAAATTCTGATTCTTCCACTGTTTTTACTATTTGGCCTTGAGCAAGTTACTCTGTGTCTCCAAGTCAGTGCGTTTTCATCTATCAATGGGCATGCCGATAGTACCTCATTAAGAGAACTATAAGGACTAAATACACCGAAAGCCCAGCATATAGTAGCTGCTCAATAAATGCTAATTATTATTAGCACCATTAGTCCTATTTAGTCTTTTGATTTGGGGAAACCGGCCCTCTCCATCAAGAAGCAGGGCCTAGGAAAGTGCTTTGGGGGCCAGGCTCTGCCCAGTGACCAGGCAGGGATAGTATCAGTGCCACCTAGAAACAGTCACCCAGTGACTCATCCAGGACCACCCTGCTTGTAGGAGGCAGTGGTGGGGCGCGGTACATAGCTCTCTAGCCCCAGATCCAGTGCTTGCTCCAGCTGGCAAGATGTTTACAGCTTGACTTCATTTCACACTCACAGCACCCTCTGAGGTAGGTGGGGTGAGGAGTATCATTCCCACTTTCCAGAGGAGGAAACAGGTTCAGAGATGAGGTGAGAGTTAAACAGCAGGCAAGGGGTGGGGCCAGGACTGCACCTGGCCAACGGGTCCCTGTGCTCCCTGCACATGCCACGAGGACAGCAGTCCAGCACCTGGCCACATCCCTGTCTACCCGCTCTACCCTGTCCTGCCCTCCCCACTGCACAGGCCCAGCCAGCAGCTCCTACAGAGCCTGGGAGGCCTGTGCATTCCCGTTCCAGGTAGGCCTGCAGCCCACAGCCAGCACCTGCTCCCCTGCCTGCGCCGCCCCAGGGATAGCTCCTGGCTATTTCTAATCGTCCCTGTGGCATAGCCTGGTACACTGGTTGCTCCCACCTCCCAAAGGCAGTCCTTCAGAACTGTGGGCAGGAAGGGGGCAGAGGGATCAGAAAATCAGGGCAACCTCCAGGACGGGTGTTTAACCCTTTGTACGCAATTAAATTCAAAATATTGTGGAGTGTGGAGATGGTCTCTGTTTTGGATGCATGGCAGTTAACCGGCTAATTGTGCCCTAGACTCGGCTTATGTACAGCCAGGAGTGGGAGCAGCTGAAAGGCAGGTGCCGGAGCCAATAAGGAAAAGGGCAGGGGACTGGCTCTCCCATGTAGTCACTGTGTGGCCTTGGGCAAATCTGAACCTCAGTTTTCTCAGCTATAAAATGGGGACAACAACTGACTAATGAGGGGTCAGTGGCAGAACTATGGCAACAGGATCCGACTGCAGAGGGAGGGGCTGTGCTGAGTCTGGAGGCTCTGCCCCAGTGCCTGGGGTGGACAGAACACCAGTGACAGGCCCCCTTTCCCTCACTGGTCCCAGAAATGGCTCTCAGACCCATAACGAGAGCTCTAGAGCACCTGCAGCAGCCTGAGGCTTGTGACATAAGATATGGCCATGGGTGGGGGAGATTCGAGCCCCAAGAGACGGAGGGCGAAGCTGGCCTTCCTGGAATTGCTTACAGCAAGTCCGCTGGCTCCAAGAAATCTGGACTACAGGCGCCCGGCCCAGAGACTGGGCAGCCTGCAGGGACCCGGGCCTCTCCCCACGGCCCCCAGGCTCCAGCCGACTGGCAAGAGAGTATTCCTAAGTAATGCCAGGCAGGCGGAAATCAATGAGACAAACCCAATAAGCAAGGCAGCTCCTTAATGACCCACTGGCTTCCTTCGCAGTCTAAAGAGAAATGCAGGGGATAAGGCAGCACATTTGCCACGCAATCTCATTGATCCTCATAACTCTGCTGATGCCAGGGGTAAACAGGGCATGCACATCTTATAGGGAAGGGAGAGGGAACAGAGATGTTAAGGGGCTGGCCCAAGCTCACACAGCCAGGTGGTGGCAAATGGGACTAGAACCCAGATCCTCGACTCTTGTCCACCTTCCCTTCTTGCTCAGAGCCATGTGCCAGGCTGAGCCCAGAGGGCTGAGCCCTCAGAACAGGCAGTTACTTATGGTCCTGCTCTGCCAGCCCCCAAATTTCTTTCAAGATTTAAAATAAAATAAAATAATAACAAGGCATCGATTTCCAAAAAGTAGGAAGAATTGAGATGACTACCGGGAACAAATGCCACACTGCATGCTTTCCAGAAGAAGCCTGCAGGCTGTCAGCAAGCCCTTTGGAAGGCATCGGGACTCTCCTGCTGCCCCAGTGTAAGGCCCAGGAGGCCCCTAAGTGCCGGCCCTGCTCCAGCAAGGGTGCCAGGGACGGGCCAGGGCTGTGAGAGTCAGCCCAGACCCTCCAACGTTCCCCAGGGGATGAGTCTGCCTTCATGCCTACTCCCCACCTCCATGAAAATGGGCTGAGAAGCCACTAGACTGGGAGTCAGGAGGCCGGAGTTCCCATTGCAGTGTTGAGACCTGGGCAAGGGGTTCACCTGCTGTAGAGCTGCTGAGCTCACCTGTGCAGGAAGGGGCTTACTGAGCGGGATGTGAGCTCCATGTCCCAGGGGGTGCTTTTGCAGGGTGGGGCCGGTGGGGATTTCTAGCTGAGCAGCCGGGAAATGCGGTTCCCCAGTGAGAGGACACTCAGGCTTCCGGGACCCACCCACTTCTGTTGCTTCCTTGCTCCTTCCCAGTAATGAGTCTGGGCCGGGCACATCCTGTCACTTCCCGGAATGCCTCCCTGCCCCTCTGCTGCCCACCTAGTGCATCTCCATCCGGAGACAACTACTGCGCGTGACCTCCCAGGCCCAGGTTCTGGGGTGCCCCCCGCGTTCTCCCACCCCACAAGGCACCTACCCCAGGCCTGGGCAATGGGGCCATACCCTGAGCAAGGACCACACTTTGTCCAGCTCTGGCCTGGGGTCTGAGTCCTCCTCCGTGAAGCCTGAGGCCTGGGGAGCCCTTGGGAGCAGCTCACTTTCCACATGGGGCCCAATGGAGGCTCTGCCAATGTCACAAGGGTGCCTTTTTCTGGGAGACACAGCCCTGTGCCAGGCACGAGGCTTGGACGCAGCAGAATGTGGCCTGGATTTCAGGCTCCCCACCCCCCTGAGCAGGGTTGGAGGTTCCCTGCCCTGGGCTGGCTGAAGGGAGGAAAGAAGTGCCTATCTGCCCTGTGACCAAACCCAGAGCTCTGAGGGCCCCAGACCACAGCCAGATAAAGTGCGTTTGGTTCTATGTACACACTTGGGGGTGTGTGTGTGCACATGTGTATATGAGTGTGGGTGTTTATGTGTGGATGTGTATATGAGTGTGGGTGTATGTATGTGGATGTGTGTATATGACTGTAGGTGTATATGTATGTGGGTGCATATGAGTGTGGGTATATGAGTGTGGGTGCATATGAGTGTGGGTGTATATGTGTGTGTGGATGTGTGTATATGACTGTGGGTGTATATGTGTGTGGGTGTATATGAGTGTGGATGTGTATATGAGTGTGGGTGCATATGAGTGTGGGTGTATATGAGTGTGGGTGTTTATGTGTGTGGATGTATATGTGTATGGATGTATATATGAGTGTGGGTATATATGAGTGTAGATGTATACGTGTGTGGATGTGTGTATATGAGTGTGGATGTGTATATTTGTGTGAGTGTGTGTATATGAGTGTGGGAGTATATGTGTATGGATGTAGGTATGAGTGTGAGTATATATGAGTGTGGGAGTATAATGAGTGTGGATGTATATGTATATGGATGTATATATGAGTGTGGGTGTATATGAGTATAGATGTATACGTGTGTGGATGTGTGTATATGAGTGTGGATGTATATGTGTATGGATGTATGTATGAGTGTGGGTGTATATGAGTGTGGGTGTATATGTGTATGGATATAGGTATGAGTGTGAGTATATATGAGTGTGGGAGTATATGAGTGTGGATGTACATGTGTGGATGTATGTATATGAGTGTGGGTGTTTATGTGTGTAGGTATAAGCTGGAGCCTCCAGCTTCTACGGCTCTGTGAGGAAGGAGGAGGAGGGACTCTGCATACTGGAAACCTTCCTCATTTGGGGTCCCCTGACATCTGGGAGTGTGTGACCCTCCCTCCCCTGATTTCCTGGTCTCCTTGGAGAGCTGAGTCAGCACTGCCCGGGCTGATGATGCAGTGCTGCGGCCCAGCTCCCAGCTCCGGTTTCCACCACAGGCTGCTTTGCTAGCAGCTGCACTTGTAGTCTGGACGCAGGAGGGCAGCGAACAAACTGGCCTGGGCAGCACTCATGGGGCATCACTTCTCCCAGAGGTGGGGCTTAGTCACGTGAGATGGGAGAGGATAGGAAGATGGCCAAGCAGCCAATCTGCACAGGGCAGCCGCTGAGGCCTGAAGATGAAGGCAGGAGAGAAGGCAGAGGGGTAGAGGAAGCATGGAATGGGACGGGAGCTGAGGAAGGCAGGGATCCCCGAAGCAGGGCGGCCACACACAGCTGCACAGGCTGTGCACCCACAGCTGCAGGGAGGCCATGCACACAGATTACCCTGGGGCTGCGGAGCGGTGGCCCTGGCTGGCAGGTCAGGGGAAAGGAGGGAGCGCTCTGAGATCCAGACCCAGAGCTGATGCCCATGTGTCCATGACCATCCATGGACCTCACAAGGTCATACGATGGGTCGTTACTCCTCGTTACACATGGGAACAGTGAGACCCAGGGGGACATGTGACCTGTTGAGAGCCGCGCAGGTTCTAAACCCCCATCTCTGAACTTGAGTCCAGCCTCCTTGGAAACCTCCAGACCCACCTGTCAGGCAGCACTGGCCTTGCAGGTGCAGGCCCACCCACCTTTAGGGATTGAAGTCTGGCTCTCCAGAGCCACCTGGAGGAGACAGGCTGCCCGTGGGAATCAGTGCAGCCTGGGGGAGCGGGTGCTGGTGCTGGCAGGCCGTGACCAGGCGGAGGGGGTGTCCGAGCCTCCTGCTGCAGCACAGGCAGCCTGCAGAACACACCTGTCTGTCTGTCTGGGTCACAGAGCACAGGGGCCCAGGGAAGCAGACAGCCAGCTAAGGGTTCAGGTGAGGCGAGAGTTCCAGCCGCTGCCCAGGCCAAAGCCGTTCCTTCCCGGATGCTGACTGCCGAGTGCTGATTTGGCTCTAGCCCAGCTCCCAGCTCCGCTATCGGATGGGTGTGCCTCGTCTGCTTTTCTTGCCAGAGATACAGGGCACAGAGAGGGTAGGGCGTCACCCGGGGCACACAGCACGCTGTGGCTGGGGAGGCTGGGGGTGAGGAGCCGGGAGCAGTTGTTTGTAGCTTTGAACAGCATCGGTCTAGAGGCGGTAAAAGGCAGTGATGATGGTGAGGATCTCTAACACCTCATGCTAACTGGGCGCTGCTATGTGCCAGGCAGAAGGCTCTTAATCTGTGTTATTTCTTTTAATCCTCAAACAACCTACCCGGTAGATAGAATTATTTCTCCCTACTTTACAGCTGAACCAACCAGAGCAAACAGACCTGCCCCAGTTCATGCCGCCAGGAGGTGGCAGAGGCAGGCTTGGAACCCTGGCAGTCTGGCTCGAGTTCCAGCTCCTAACCACCCTGGGGGCGGCCTCCCTCATGAGCGGTTACCCCCTTTCTGTCTGGAGTGAGCAGTTTTCAAAGTGCTCTCACATCCCAGCTCCCGTTCCCAGGCCCAGAGCATGCTGTCCTCACGCTGTGGAGCTGAAGTTCTCTGCCTCGCCCGCCGGCCCTGCAGGGCTGCAAGCTCCGGGGCGGAGACTGCAGGGACTTCAGAAGCAACCAGGGTCCGGCCCGCGTTAGGTGTCGCTTGGAGCATGAATAACCTCGATGAGGGAGGAAAGGCAGATACTGATGTCTCCCTTTTACAGAGGAGAAGACAGAGGCCAGCTATCTCCTGAGCCACAGTAGACCCACCCTTGTCCCCTGGCCACTGCCTCGGACCATCCCATACAGCACACAGGGCAGCACTGGCTCATCAGGGGACAGCAAGGCCCTGGAGGCCTCGCTCCTGGTATGGAAGCGAGAGAACATACCAGGAAGAACAGAGCACAGAGCCAGCCGACCCTACCTCGGCTGATCCTCTGCTTTTCCCCAGAGAGGATGCCTGGCGTGTCGATGATGCTGATGCTCTCCAGCACGGGGTTGGGCAGCTGGGCACACACGAACCTGCAAGGACGACAGGAGTCCGAGGTGAGCCACTGTCCTCTCATTGCCTCTCACACACCCTTGTTTCAGCCGCATGCCCACCTTCCCTGCTCGGGGGGCAGTGGTTCAGAAACCTGGCTGCCTTCCCATGCAGACGCCCAGCTCCAGGTCAGACTTAGCCCCAATGCTGGGCCCAAGACCTGTATGCTGAGGAAGCTCCCGGGGGATCCTGGGCAGCCAGGGTCCTACACTGTGACCCCTGCTGTCAGGGACACCAAGATGTCCAGAACTCGAGCCCTGCTCCCAGGGAACCCAGTCTGGTGAGGAGAGGAGGCATGCAGGTGGCCAACCCGAGGGAGGCCAAGCGAAGGGTTGGGGAGATCCAAGGTGGAGAGATGGAGTCCAGGACAGCTTCCTGGAGGACGCGGCACTGGAACTGGCCTTAATGAAGGGGTCACACCACCCAGAAACATTTGTTTATGCCTCAAAGGGCTATCCAAATATCAAACTTTGCTATTAGGATAGCAGTCAAGCCTTATTCAAGGAAACATTTATAGTGTTACATCCTGGAGTCTCAACATACACGCTGGTAAACCTAACTTAGATCCTTCTTACTTCAGCCTTCTCTCTCATATGCCATTTTTGGTGGAAGCTAAAAAGGTGTCTTACTCTCCCACGTATATTATGTGAAATGGCAGAGATGCAGGACACATGGGAAAAGAAGTGGGGGCGGGGGGAGGGCTTCACAGAGGAGGCCGAACTTGAACTAAAACTTCAAAAGATAATCAGCATTTGCCAGGCAGATAAGAGTGCAGGCAGGAAGCCTGTGTGTGTGTGTGTGTGTGTGTGTGTGTGTGTGTGTGTGTGTGTAT